TAGATTTTTTCTTGAACATTTTTTTGACTTGTGGTGGTGGCCGGTGGGGGTAGGGGGCCCCCAAAAAAATTGTGCACTTGGCCCAAATTTTATTAAATCAGGGCCTGGTTGTAATACAAAAACGAATAACTGTAGATACATGAAAATTTCACTGAATGTTTATATTAGAATTTCCTATACACCATACAATTTTGAAAATATTTTGACTCTTTTTCAGCTGTTTGGCTGATATTTCAAAGTCTAACATCTGAGGCAATCTCTATTTAAAAATATAATTATAGTTAAAAAAATGAACATTAAAATTGAATTTAAGGCATTCATTACTTGAGCTTCTTTGAACATTTTTTTAAATTCATGATCTACATTTTCCCTTAAATTGTCAAGATTCTTGATACTGATATTGGCCAAACTGATCATTTCTCTCAAATCTATGTTTTTTTTAGCACGGTTTTAACTTTTAAAGTTTTAACTATAATACTGATAATACCTTATTAATATGCTATCTTAAATTTCAGTATTATCAACATAAACATATAATAAGATTATCAATTATCACAGTAACAAAACGGTTTTGGTAATGGTGATTTGTCATTGCGACCATTAGACGATACACAAAATACCTTACTTATAACCCTTAACAACACAAACATCTAAAATATTATTAATAACTATTATTGATAAAAAATTTTTTTTTAATATATAAGATATATTAGTAGTTTTAAATATTTGAAATAAATTTATAAACTTTCCAAGGGGGGGGGTTTAAACCCCCTTAAACCCCCCCCCCGTGTCTACGGCCCTGGATTCATTAAATGTCTAGTGATCGTTCATGCAGCCCGACATTAGACTAGGTAATGAAATTTGAAATAGGAAATACCTAATCGACGTCACAGTTTCTAAAAAAACTATTGTCAAAACGAAAAAAACATGGTTATACGTGATACGTGATGTCTAGTGCTGACAAATAATTTTTTACTCTAATGCTTGCTTAACGGTGGTCAATATGCGTATATAATATGCTATATATAGCCATATAGCAATATAGGCATAATATGTTATATACATATGGATATGTTATAAAATACACTATTTATAGTAATTTAATTTGTAACTTGGAAGTCAATTATAGAATTGCGTTTGTCGAATGACATAAGTTTCAAAACTAAGTTCGACTGACAAATTCTAATTGATTGTACCATCGTTCTTAACTCGTGAGTGTTAAGCTTGATTTGTTAAATTATTCCTTGCGAAATCAAAAGCATAATATTATACATACCGACGGTTTCTAAGGAGTTCAATATAGGCAAATTTCTAATTGTGTCCATGCGGGTCGTGTAAATGTGTGTGTAGTAAGTGATTATTAGTGTAATAGTGTGAGTGACTGTGTATAAAATAAATAGTGGAGCACACCCACACTTACAACACCCACATATCAGTAACGCACCATTTTACACTCTTTAAGATTTACACAAAAAAAAATGTCTATAAGAAAGTCAATTTAAGTTTTATGAGCGTTTGAAATTCAAATTTTTACAACATTGGATATTCCCTCGATTTCTCGTGTAGCGATTTCCTTATTTTGTTGTAATTCAAAAACGAATAACTGTAGATACATGAAAATTTCACTGAATGTTTATATTAGCATTTCCTATACAACATACAATTTTGAAAATATATTGACTCTTTTTGAGCTGTTTACGGACATTTTTAGTTTTTTTTTCTATAAATATCAATAAAGTTTTAGCTGTTGGGCCAATAAGTGTAAAAATGTAATACAAGGCTCCTTATATATTGTTACAATATCAGTTGAAAAAAATTAAAAATACACAGACACAATTTTTTTTTATATGTATTTAAAGATCGAATTTTGACAAAATTTATCAAATTTAAAATTGAATAATTATTTTGTAGTTAAAATTTTAAAAACATATAAAATGTTCAACTTTTATATCTAAGGTATGAAAATTTAAAACAAGATTCCACGTAAGTAGTTAATTCTGTTACCAAAAAATCTAAAGAATACATAGACACAGTTATTTTTATAGTCATTTTAAGTTCAATTTGGACGAAATTACATAAAAAAAAACCTAGAATAACTATTCTAGTTATTTTGTTGTGATTGTATAATATTATTCGTGGGTACCTAATAGATATTGTGATATAATTAATTTGGAATTTATAATAGGTACCTATTATAGGCCAAATTTTTTTTAATACCATAGATAAGTATGTAATACCTATGTCTTATACCTAGACTGACATACCGTCTCCGCTCAGAATCGTTTTTCTTATACATTGATATTATATCAATGAATTCAAATTTAATACCATCCATTATATACAGTGACCCACTTGTAACCTACTGTACAGCAGAGCACCTTTTTTATTTTATAGGTATAATTTTGATAATTGAGGGGTTTCAATTCAAAACGTACCTTTTCCATTTTCCTAATTTTTCAGGACAGTTCATTTTTTGTTTCTCTGATTTTTAAACGATTTAGATGAAATGTGATATATTGAAAAATAGGTAAAAAAAATGATAAATCAATTTCTGATATCGAAAGTTATCTCATTCATTTTTTTTTAGTATATTTTTATATTTAAAGAAAGTGATTTTGAACAAAACGTACCTTTTCCAGGAATAAGTCCCTTTTGAATAAAACACTGGAATAAGCACTTTTTGGAAAAAAACAAATCTTATGTTAAAAATAATAAATTAGGTAGGTAGGTAGATAGGTAGGTACCTTATATGATAACATATCTACCTGCCTACCTACCTAAATTATTATTTTTAACCTAACATTATATGATAACATGATATAAGATTATGCATTATGTATGTTGATGGTAGTTTTTTATAAAATAAATAGTTTATAACAAATGACAAACAACAGTTTTGTATAATTTAGTGATTTACTTAAAAAATATGTCTTTATAATATTATCCACAAAATATAACATACATTACTTGGATGAACAACCTTTGTTATAGTATGCTCTCCTTTATCAGCATGGACATTAGAAGTTACCTTTAATAGATCTGTCATAGAAAAATCTTTTAGGCTGTAGTCCCTAACATATCAAACAAAAACCTTTAAGTACTTTATTAAAAAAAAAAAATTATAATAATATTTTGAGCTAGGTAGATAAAAGCAATTTACTGATTTTGCTGCCCCCAATAATTGTATGGCCCGTGCTCTTTTCATAATAATATTATAGTTAATTTACAATATAATAAATTACTAATACAATACTTTTTATTTAAAGGTAAATTAAAAAAGTTCACACATTTTTTTTAAATTTTAATGATTTTATCGTGAATAACAATAGAGATAAGTAGGCTACCACGATTTTCGCTCCAAAACGTATCTTGTCATCTATGATATCTATGGTTCTATTGAAGTTAGGAACGATATGTAAATATTTTTTTGAATATAAAATAAATATAAATAAATATAATTTAATTTCCCTGAGTACAAATTTATATTTTAATTATTAAAAATATAATAACTTTTTTTTTGTTAATGAGGTTATGACAAAATAAAATAAGTGCGTTTTGAAAAAAATTGATAGTCAAAATATTAAATTTGTATTACAATTACAAAGGAAAAAGTACTTTTTGATAAGAAATGGAAAAAGTACGTTTTGCTCAGAAATTAAGGAAATGGCACATTTTGCTATGAACGATTTGTTTCTCCTATGCTGACATATGAGGAAAAAGTGCATTTTGCAGGAAATTGGAAATAGTTTATTTTGATTAAAACGTACACCTGGAAAAGGAACGTTTTGCAGAAAAAGGCGATTTTTGATCGACTATTTCATAGGGAATAAGTGAGGTTAGCCAAAAATTGACCTCACCATTCGATTTCCCGCCATTATTTCTACTAGAATCAATATCTAACTCGATTTTGTCAAAAATGGAAAAAGTACGTTTTGAATTGAAACCCCTCAATTTTGAAATATTGTATCTATCTATAAGTAAAACTTCTAAATAATAATAATTATTAATATTATAAATATTATTAGGAAACGTAATATTTTATTTCGGGGATTTAATTTTTACAGAATTATTCATAATATAAAACAAAATATTATTGTTAATGTTTGAAAATTATCATATAAATATAATATATAAACGACAAAAGTAAGTAATTTTGAACTCTGAAAATAGATTGGTTTTTGAATTTAATGTTTTTTTTGATTTTTAATTTTTTTAATGTTATAAGTAGGTATACCTTTGTAATTAAATATTTTTAATTTGGTAGCTACACTAATAATAAATTAGCGTTTAAACGTATAATTCTTCAATCATTTTCATGTGGTTGGGAGTAAGATTGCAGTCTGTAGATTTTTATTCCGTGATTACCGCAGACAGTATAATAATCTTATTAACTTAAAAAATGAAACTTGAGTAAATAAATATTTTTTTATATGTAATTTAATATTATGGAGTTTGGTGACTTTGCACCCATTGGTTTCTTTTTATTTTATATCAGGGGGGCTACAGGCTACAGCCCCCCAACATCTTAGCCCTAATTGCATCACTGCCAACCATAGATATATTATGCAACAATGCTATTTAATGCCTAAATATGTCCGAGTGGCCACCAAAGATATTTAAGATTTTTAATAAATAATATGGTGGCCACTAAACATTGTGGCTGACGGCTGTTAAGTAATGTTTTTTCTATCATGATGTTATTTAATATTTATAATATCATGTTTTTTATTATCTCGTTATTTTGCTATCAAAATAATTTCATTTCATCAACATTACTATCATAATATAGTCGGTTATCGCTTATCAGTTGGTCGCAACTCAGTCAGTACTTACTCAGACTACTCACCATATTTATTCGAGTTGAATTTTCAAAAAATTTGAATTGTTTAAATATTTGACAAAATTCCCATTTACAGTGTTTGAGATACAGATCTTAAAGATCTAACTGTAGTGTTAGTTTTCCATTTTAAGTACATCTATTATATTTTGCTCAGTTGAATATGTCAAAACTGTCAGTGAAGACCAACGACAATGTCACATTATGTGTTTTGGTATCCGATGAAAATCCAGAACTAAAATTTATACTTCTAGATAATGAACCTTTAACATTGGGTAGAACACAACAGACTGGAATAGTCGATCAAAGAATGTCGAAAAATCAAAGTAAATTAAATTTAGAACTATGATTAAATACCTATATATTTCCATATGAATAATGTTTGTATGCGATAAATCTTTTATTATTTATGTGAGAACATGGGTATATTCATGTTTATCTCATCTGATCTGCCATAAGTGATACAATTATAATGATATTCATATACATAAGTACATATCTACATAAGTGTCACTGGGATATCTAGCTCATTAAAAATTTTAAATAGATCCATTTCTTTTTTGAAAATAGTTTCCATACCAACTAAATTAAATAATACCTATGTATAGGTATATTTTTTTTCTAATGTAATTGGTACCTTATACCCAATTAATTGTATTTACATTAATACTGTTAAAAATTGATTTTAGTACCCATACCTAGAATATTACAAATATTTATACTAATAACTCATAAATATTTTATTATATCCACTTTATAAGTTGTTGATTAATGATTTATTTTATTTAAATAATAAACCGGAGCCCATATTGAAAACTTAATTAAAAATACTGTAGTACCTATCTACAAAGAATAATCCGAAGAATAATATTAATGTACCTATAGGTACTTAGTTTTATTTTAATTTTATATATTTTTTTAGAATGTAGTGGGTATCCCTAATTAAATTAAACCACAGGCTACGGTTGTATATAACTTAAGTTTTTGATTTACATGCAGATGTGTTTAATTTTTAAATTTTTTTAGTGAAATTTGTTGCTGACTATTCTACGGCTCGTGTATTGGTTGAACAATTAGGTAGCAACAGGTCAGCTGTTAACAACGAATCTATGATAAAAGGGGAAAAGAGACTCTTAAACCATGGAGACAAAGTGTCATTGTTGTTTAACAGCAATTTTACATATCATTTGGATTTTGTTACACCTCCTACTTATGGTGTAGACTCCAACAAAAGGACAACTAATTGTTTAGATAAAGAAATTTCACCTAAAAAACCTCGCTCAGATTCTACATCTAAATGGGAAACTAGAGATGGTACGTTGTTGGTGTATAATAGTTCAAATATTGTTCATAAAGAGAAGGTAAATGTTAAATAATTAATACTGTTAATTAAATTAATTTTTTTATTTTAATGTTTGTATTTGGTGTTTAAGATAGCAGCATTTGATATGGATGGAACACTTATTGTTACTCAGTCTGGTAAAGTTTTCCCTGTTGATGAGAATGACTGGCAAATTTATAGCCCAGAAGTTACTACATCTATTAAAAAATTGTCTGATGACGGTTACAAAATAGTTATATTTACTAATCAAGGAGGTATTGGGGTCAATAAAGTAAATGAAAAAACATTTAAAAAGAAAATTGAAAATATTCTCAAAGTGATTAAAATACCAGTTCAAGTATTCATAGCCACTCGAAAAGATATATATAGAAAACCTGCTCCAGGAATGTGGAATATATTGGTTTCTGATGTAAGTTGTTATTTATTTTTAAATCTTGGTGCAGCTTAAGGTTATTAGCTTAGAACAATATTAAATATTAATGCTATATATGTATAAATACATTGGTTTTCCTAGATTTAGTTATACGTATCAATATATTTAAGAAATAAAAATATTTTGTTGCGGTTGTGTTCAATTAAGCTTAATCGTTTTTATTAAACAACTAAAAAAATAACATTAATATTTTTTGTTTTAGTACAATGGAGGTTTATCAGTTGACATGGATAAAAGTTTATTTTGTGGTGATGCAGCAGGCCGGCCTACTCGTTCTAGTGCTGATGGAAAACCAATTAAAAAAGACCACTCGTGTTGCGACCGCTTATTTGCCATGAATATTGGTCTCAAATTTTATACTCCTGAAGAATATTTTTTAAAAGAATCTACTGAAGAATTGTATGCATTACCAGTATTTAATCCAAACGATGTTATGTCTAATATCCTCTACACAGATTTAACATCCAAAGCTTTGTTTTCTCCTAATAAAGAAGTAAGGCCTCTTCAGCACATTCAGTTTTTAATATTTGAATAATAATAAAAAAAATTTTTAGATGATCATAATGGTTGGTTGTCCTGGTTCAGGGAAAAGTTATTTTGCATCAAATAAATTATTTTGTCATGACCGAATGAAAATAATTAACAGAGATACACTAGGCTCATGGCAAAAATGTGTTTCTGAGGCTAAAAAATACTTAAGTGGTGTTAGTTGGAGTGTAGTAATTGATAATACAAATCCTGATATAGAATCAAGAAAACGCTTCATTGATATAGCTAAAAGTTTAAAAATCCCATGTCGAGTATTTTTAATGAATGTATCCAAAGACCATGCTAAACATAACAACAAAGTAAGTATAAAAACAAAGTCACTTTTAACATTTAAATAATTAAAATATTATTTAGAATCTGTACACTACTATGCCATGAAGTTTATGTAATATTTTCTTTACAATTTGTTAATAATGTAAAGAGTAATAAAATAACTTCTTATTTTTTAACCTCACCTCAATTATAAAAATGTATCTACAAATTTATAGGCATGTTTGAAATTTGTTAACTCTATATATTATTGTTATTATTATTATTATTATTATTATTAATAAATCTAGGTTTTTGTTTTTTGTTGTTTAAATTCTAGAAAAAATAACTATTTTATATAATAACATAATATGCAAAATGATCTAAAATTATGTTTTTTTTTTTATATTTATAGTTTCGAGAACTAACTGATAGAAAACACCAAAAAGTATCAGATGCTGTAATTCATTCTTACTTGTAAGTATAGGTAATGCTAGGAACATAATTTATTGTAGGTATAGATGTAGCAGGTGTTCATTAAAAAAATAATTTATTGAAGATCCTTTTTTCTCCAGTAGTTTATTTCGTTTTCAATAATTGTTATGTATGTCTGATGTTTGAAATTTAGTATAAAAACTGTGGAAGTCACTCTGTCGTATAGTTGTTTTTGAGTGTACCTTGTAATTCAATACATAGGTTATTGTAATGGATGTGTTAAATTTGAATTCAATGATAATTTATTGTTTACATACAATTATTGAGTTCCTCAAAAACTTAAACATCAAAATATTTATTATTTTATTTTATTTGGTTAAACATAATATTTAATATTATACCAATTAGAAAAAATAATTTATTAATATTGTTAATAACTTTTTTATGGTTTTCAGTTAAGAGGGATGTTTTATATACACTTAAAACATACCTACTTATACACTTTAAATTTGTTATTTTTATAAATAACTTGTTGTGTTGATTTTTTTTTTATGATACTTCTATTTTTAATCCTTTTATTTATCAATGTATCAATAAAAAAATGAAGAAAACTTTAAAATCAGAACATCACTGTAGCTTATAAATTCATCATTATTTAAAATAAATCTGTTTACTTACTTATTTTTCAGTTCAAAATTCCAAGAACCATCCAAAAATGAAGGTATTGACGAAATAGTTAAAATAAATTTTGTTCCTCATTTTAAAGATCCTGAGCATGAGAAACTATATAAAATGTTCTTGCTCTGATATAAGTAATTTTTAATTCTTTTAAAAGTTTACTATATTCAAATTTTAATTGTATAATTCATTGAGAATGTTATGTTATTTTAAGTTTTAACTCATAAGTCATGTCAAATTAAAAATACATAAATAACTTTTTAAAATGTTTTCATATAAACTAAAATGTGTTCTAATTTAAACCGTTTTGTTACAGTCAGGTGTTTCTCTTTGTGAATATATATAGTTAATAAAAATCTAATTTAATATATTGATGAATTTGAATAACTGTTTTAAATTACTTTTTACTATTGTAGTTTGAAATTATTTTCAATTTATTATTATATAATACAAATTATGTTGGACAGCATAGGTGCAACTAGACCTATATTTTAGGGGATGTTAAAAAAAGTAAAATATGACTTGCAGCTAATTCAAAAATTTTGTTTGTTAAAGCAAAAACTTATTTAAGACATTTCCTCTACCTACTGAGTCAACGAACATCTGTAAAATATATTTCATAACTATGTTCAACATAATATTATACTTAATTAAAAGCTTTGAAATTGTATATGATTCATACTCTTGATCTAATAAAATGTATTATTACAACATCATTCATTACAGTTTAAAAACCGACTGATTTTGCACATTCATTTTCTTGATGGACAATTCAGTAAAATTTCATCAGTTGTATAAAGTATAAAGTACTAATTTCACAAATTTCTTTTTTAATAAAAACTGACTACTTCGGTTTTCTTACCATTGCTGGCCCCATCTGTTATAACTCCACAAAGATTTGTTGATTGATAATAAAACGGCTAAATGTTGATTTTAAAGCTTTCAAAATATCACACACGACACACATGTTTGTCATGATTTTCATTTAGGAAAAGTGCGGCTATTTATTCAGTAGCATTTAAATTATAATCAATATCCAATACCCCGAATGAAAATTGGTAATTGAGCCGTATCTGTCATATCTACACTCAATCAAGGGCCAGCAGGCGTGGGTTCAGGGAAGGCCAGAGAAGGGTGGGGGTGTTGTTGTCTAAGCCACCAATAAAAACAATTTTTATAATAAATTACGTAATCTAAAATAGAAAGGTTTCTATTTTAGATTACGAACATATAACTATTTTTTATTTAGAGCATCACCTGTTAAAATTCCCTGGTTCGGCTGGATCTGTATTAAATAAAATTAGAAATACAATCCTGTATTAGGGCACCTACTCTCAATATCAGTAGGTATCTTATATTATGTCTTTTTCGGTCTTTATATTCTGATAAAGGAACTCAATTTGGAAAATAGTGATTTTTACCGCAGACATATAAAGTGTTAACGTCGATGACCGGATGACCCTTGATGTATATTGTACACTTTTGTTGAAACTAATAAATAATTATTTACCTTAACTTTTTGTCAAAACATTTGTTCACTAGGTACCTGAACTTTAGTTTTTCTTATTTTATTTTTATCACTCTTTTTCAATATTGTAATAATATATTTTAGTAAAGGGACTGCAGCAGGTTTTGTCAAAAGTCAAAACTTATGTAGATTTGACCAATCCAAACATTAATTTTTTTGTTATAATGTTTTTCAATATATTTAAATTCCGTATCATAAAATAAACCTTATGGGGGCTGGAGGGGGCTCCAGTCAATGGAAAAAAGTGAATTTTAGACCAATAAGCTAGACAAAACTGGAAGAATTTGGTTAGACAGATTTTAATTTTGAAAACGGAATATGATTGATCAACAAGTTTACTAGGGAATGATCGAAGCGATTTTGAATATTCCAATTATTATTAGTGTCATAATTAATAATATAAATACAAAAAAAATCATATTTTTTTTCGATATTTTTATTCTTGGATATCACAGCTGAAAAAAAATATTGAAAATCGCCTTGATCATTGCCTAGTAAACTTTTTGATCAAACATAATGCGTTTTTAAAATTAAAATCTGTCAAACCAAATTCGCCCAGTTTTGTCTAGCTTATTGTTCTAAAAGTCACATATGATTATAATATATTTATTATAATTCCATTCAAAGGACAGAAACAAATAGAAAGAAAGGACATATTAAATAAATTATAAAATATTCTACTGACTGTGTTATTTTTATTTTAAGTACCTATACTAGCCCGTCCTTACAATTTGCGTGGCCCTGGACATATTAACTCTTTTAGCGGGGCCTATATAAAAAAAAATGTGATATTTTCCGCACAAAGGCAATTACATCCCCATAACCACTCCCAAAAAATATAAACATACGTAAAGTATTTTTACCTATTACCTTTGTCAGTACCTACCTCACCTAACCATTTTACGACTTGATAACAATAATATATAATTTGAACACCGCGGAGCAACAACAATACATCTCCATATTTTGGTCAAAATTAGTTTTTGATTGAACATAATTAAGAGAAAAAAAACTGCGTCGTTTGTTGCAACAACCAGAAAACTACGATTGTTAAATACAGAGACATATACATGGAGATGACTTGTGCAAAATATATTCAATTTATTACGAGTGGGTATATATATATATATATTATAGGTATATTTAGTACATAGTACATACTATATGTCTATATAGTATATATATTATCCATATTAGACAACTCCAATTTTATTTTTAGATTCTGAGTGGGGCGATAAATGCATTTATTTTACAACGATTTGTGTTTTTTAAATTTTTCTCGTGTCTGTCAGCAGTTTTTACGACAGTAAAAATGCTTTGATTTTCTTCAACAGTATATTTTCTGTTAGGAAAATGATTCTAATTGGTACCTTTGGGGGGGTCAAATAAGTAAAAAATTCCTAGTAGTTTTCCGAGTGCCGGGGAAAACAACAACAAAAAGGTGGGCAAGTGGGTGTTGCTCTGCTGTACAGTAGCTATTACAGTGCTCGAATTGGGAAAATTTAAGTAGAGGAGCTCAATCCAACGATTTAAAAACTGCATTCCAAGGGTGAATACATTTAACGGGCGCCGACTATTTTACCAAGGTTGAAATTTGATTTTACAATTAATATACCTATTGATATTCTAAATCACACCTATAATCACAATAATGGTCATTGCCTAAATCGCGTTTGATAACTATAATATCCATCCCCCCAATAGGAACCTGTGAAGTACACAGTGCCACATTTAGACATTTTGCGCCCCTGTGCAAAAAAAAAATTGACGCCCCCTAAGCCCCGGTGAAAAAAATTGCTCCCCCCCTAAGGGGCCTACCCACGGAAAATATGGATCCTCATTAACCTTTTAAATTTTGAGCACAGAAAAAAATATTTGTTTTACAATGTGTGCTTTTTCAAAAATATTGTTTAGTAACTGCTTGATCCTCTCTCCGCAAAGATACATTTTAATTTATGTCACTTAAACCTTGCTTATAATTTTTTTTAACATAAGTAGGTAGGTACTTCATGAATAAATAAAATACAATTATATAAAACTGCAAATTTATATTAATTAAAAGAATTTCAAACAGCATAATACTATATAATATATAAATATATAATACTATTATACTAAATTATATTATATATAATATTGCGTTATTAAAATAATTAAAATTATAACATTTTAATAATTCACAAGTAAACAAATTTCTGACCACAAAATATTGGAGCCCCTAAAATACTGGAGCCCGGGGCAGTTGTACCCAGCGCCCTCCCCTAAATGCGGCCCTGGAAGTACAGCAGACTAAAACCTAGGTTTCATCGGTAATCTTACTTTTACCGTAGCATGTACATTGTACACACACAATGTAGGCCCTAACCAATTGCGTACGGTCAAAATTAAAATAAACGTAAAAGTCCCAAGTTATATATGGTTATCTATTAATTATTTTATTACATTCACCATTCACCAAGGATTCCAACTTCCGGGGCATAGACACCGCTCACCCCGGCCTTAGGGGACGACCTTGCTTCTATCTCATAAACAAGCGATTTTATGAACTGAAAAGCTGAAAAGCAGATTATATCAGCTGAATAAAAACAAACTATAGGTATGTTTATCGGTATAAGTCCACAAGTGCATATCTAATATATAACTATTGTTTATACCAGTGGCTCCGAACCATTTTTAAACCACTATATGGTAAACCTTGTTTAAGTGCAACCACCTACCCACCTTTTATATATATAAACTCACTCATGAGTCATGACCCACCCACCCCCCTCAACTAAAAATGTTCTGGGGTATTTATTCCACTTGCCATATGTGTTCGGCGCCACTGGTTTATACTATTAATGCTGTAAAGTATTATCACTCACTTATACAAATACATTTCAGTATGATCAAAATTGACACAACGCATTTTAAGTGTCTAAAATACCTTGTTGGACAAAATTACGAGAGATTGATGGATTTTATTTTTGAAAACCGATTTTAATTTGTCATCTATAGTATTTTAGGTTTTGGTCCTAACCAATTTTAGATATCCAAATTAATCGTTAAAATATTAATAATTAAAGGAAACATGGATTTCCTTTATTTGAAGACTTAAGTACGTGTTAAATTTTTCAAATATCAAATATTGACTCGATTGAAACCTTTTTTTTTTGTGTTGAAATCGTTGGCAGGGAGGGAAATATAATGGATTCTTATTTCTGGCCTCCCTGACCCCTGTCTACATCGTTTATTTACATAAGCAAAACAAATTAATTTACAGTTATAAAAGACTAGAATACAAATTAAAATGGATTTTGTGAATTAAAATCCATCAATCACAAGCTTCATACTTTTGTCTGGCACTTTAGTTGTTGTACATGTTTTTTCGACCTGCTCTAGCCCCCTCAATGGGATTCGATACCGATTATTTTTAAGAAGCTTATTAATATAGGCATTTTTCTATATTATGTGCCGTACCCGTGCGTGTCGTGTAAATGTCTTCAAAGTGTGGGTAATTCAGTAATTGAGTGTAAAAGAAATAGCCGATTACTTTCTTATAATTATATTAATTATATTGTTTTTTTTTTTTTGATTAAAAGTATCAATATTTTGCCAATTG